CTTTCCTTCTATCTGAGTGAGGATATTCGTGAATAACCACGCAAGGACTGTGGCAATTGTAATGGTAAGTGCTCAAGTACATACTTTTTCATCCACTTTTCACCGAATTTTCTGATCCATTACTTTTTCCATTTCAATTGCTTGTGATGGCATTATTTTTGCTATTGAAGGTTGATTTTAAGTTACAATTTCAACGAGAAACGTGATGTGGTCTAACACACACAGAACACGCGTCAGCCATCACATGCATGAAGATATTGTGCCACGGCTCTCTCCGCATATTAACGATTGCTTTCTCGAACAGATAGAATAATTTTAATAGAAATTAATCCACAGTAAGTTAATAGCCATGTTCACTGCTATCTGTGATTCACGCGACGACAAATAAATCAATGGCAAACATCAACCAACAACTGGGTGCAGTTTGAATTGATATTACAAGTACGTTCAGTTCACGTGAGGTGAAGAATTGGTCAATTGCAAATTTACACTCGGGGAAATGAATTCATAGTGAACAGTATTAACCTATTGTGCAATGTAGGTCAGATGCATACTGATGATACAAGCTGAAATGAATCCATACTGGAAGATGTTGACCTATTGTGCAGTAGATGTCGAATACATATTAATACAAACTGAAATGAATTCATAGTGAACTGTATTAACCTAGTGTGCAGCACAGAGTATTAACCTATTGTGCAATGTAGGTCAGATGCATACTGATGATACAAGCTGAAATGAATCCATACTGGAAGATGTTGACCTATTGTGCAGTAGATGTCGAATACATATTAATACAAACTGAAATGAATCCACAGTGAACTGTATTAACCTAGTGTGCAGCACAGGTCAACTGCATACTAATACCAACTGAAATGAATCGGTGTCAGGAAGCATTCACTTGTTATGCAGTATAGGACATCTTAATTTGGTTATGAACTGAAGGATATCGTTCGTGTGGGTTGATAAGCTTACTTTTGCGGTTCCAATTCATTGTGATGAAAAATCATTATTATTATTATTACTATTATTATTATTGATATGAAAATAATCAATGTGCGACGCAAAGGCCTGATGCTTCACTGAGAAATCCGAGAATATTGCGTTGAATGTTGAACGCAATGTATTCCTCCTCTTAAGTTCCGTTTGTCCGATTCGTCAAATTTGTTTACGTTGGCATCAGTTAGAAATGTGTTATGTTGAATTAATCTGAAGGATTTTTGCCTTGTTCATTTCAGATGAGAAGAGAACAGTGATTTATTTCTGCATCTGTAAAGCTGGATGACTTGTTATTGAAACAATAAAATTTGATTAACAATTCGTGACTGCAATCAATTGCAATCAATTGTGGCTTATCAAGCATAGTAATCAATTTTGGCGACGATAGGTGCAAGCATATATCAGTAATCCTCTGGTCATTTTATGGCAATAATACGGAAGATGAGAGTTGACCTTCACAGTGATATACGAATTTCAAACAGTTTCGGGATTGAGTATCTCGATCCAGTAGCCGTCAGGGTCTTGAATGAAAGCCAATCCTTTCATGCGTCCATCGTCCGGTTTCTTTATGAACTGAACACCCATTTTTTCAAATCTTTCACAAGCTTGGTAAACGTCTCTAACTGCTATACCAATATGCCCTGAAATAAAAATGAACAAACTATACGAAATATATGGTTCCTTTAGTGCAACACCTCTGATGCTGATGTCCATCAATAACGCTGAGTACGTCAACGACCAGTGCAGAAATATGATCGAATAGCTGAGTCCAGTTGAAGATGAACAATATACCAGTGCTAACTATTGCAGATGTGCTGAGATGATACGATCGATAACCGAAAAACTTCCACGAAATCAAAAACTAAAACTGAAGTAATATTCCAGTCATAAGCACTACTACTAGCGCAAAATATTCAATTTATGTGCCATATAATTTCATATAAACCCGCTTGCACTAAATAGACTCCCTGAAGTGATCGCTGTTATCCCGCAGAAGTGCCCATCAACTAGAATCACCTACACTCATCGACCGAGAAACGCAAAGCTGGAAGAACAAAGGAAGTCGGATATAACAGTTGTCTTGGAAGTTTTGAGAAAGGGTGCACTGGAAAGGATATAAAGAAGATAGCATCTCGTAAAGCAGAATATGTGGCATAATATGTCAAATCATGTGAATAGTGCACCCTCATACAGTACGGCTTGAATCTTATGGAAGTGAAGGATCAAGGTACGGTTGCTTGGAACAATACTTCAGAATAATTATGGAACAACAAATATGAAATTGAACTATCCAAGGACCTCTTCTCTATGTAGGACAAAGGGTTTGATGTAGTCTATAAGCAAACAACTGCATTCGGCAATAAGCAAACAACGGCATTCGGTAATAAGCAAACAACGGCAATCGATAACAAATTCATCGATTGCTACATAATCAAGATGCTGTGAAAATTGTGAACCCCTGTTTACTGAGACCCTCTTCCTTCCAAAGACTGTGAGAAACAGCAGCTCCAATTGAGGACTATCCGTTATATATTTCTGGATGAAAACGTCAAATGGTACAATCAAACTGCTGCGATTAAGCCTTACAACTTTTACAACCTTAATTTTTCAGGCTTCCAACAAGCGAGACCAATAAGTAATCTGATCAAAAAACGATGGTGAATAACTCATTCATGGCTGATGTACAATCCATAACCTGACTTGCACACCGATCACTTATTTGACCACCCATTATTCATCGGTTTCAAGCAATTTATAATTTCTTCGATCGGCTCAAATCAATAAGAATTCTTATGTAATGTGAATACTGAAACGAAAAAAAAATTAGCTGACCGAATCCGCGAGGATCCTTATTACCATTATGATAAGCGAAATTTGCATCGTTTTCCGTGCCCCAATTACTGTAAATAATATAATGCAATCATAAAATGAATATAAATGGTAACCAATAATAATACGATAATTAGAACAGATATCAAATGATAGAACATCTACGGAAGTAAATTGCGAAATTATCGCTTTCCGATACAGAGAGCGACAAAAGAAATCAAAATGCATATTTTTTGGCAACTCTCTTTGCAAAGGATTCGTTATGCCCACTGCAATTGCTCTAGTCAAATCCGCAATCAGACACAGTGAATGCCAAAAATTTCTTGGGAAAAACTGCATCAAATCGGTACTTCTCACATCCGGAAGCTCCACTAATCCCTTCGATGCTCTGGGAAGCCATCATTAGCCCCCTAACCCCTCCCTCCCACTATGAGAATTTACTATTTCCATGTGGTGCTATGACCGAATCACAAACTGCTCCAACAAATCCCTGTTGGCATGAAATAAATCAATTTTCTGGAATGAAACAAGTACTTTTATATCTCTATTGACCAATCGCAGAAAAGTTAGCAATGAAAAATAATGAAAAAAAAAACAGATGAAAGAACTAATATTCATCAAAAATTTCACTTATCAACCTTCAATTACACCCTGACACCCCCAAATTACTCTACACGAAACACTGATGTAAATGAGTGAATAAATAACAACAACACAATTTTTTTCTTGTCTCATTCAAATTTCAGTTGTGAAGTAGATGGAGATTTCTCAAAAGAGCTTAATTGGCGATTGGGTAATGAAAAGAAATAATTCAGCATAGAACAGACTGTGTTAATTCAATAGTTGATGGCGTTGACAAAGCAAAACGTCGCCTTTCATGTTCATCGTCAGGAATTTCGGACGCTGATTTATATCCAACAAAATACAACGAGAAACGTCCTTGTTCAAAATCCATTTTCTTCAGTAATCTGTTACAACGATTATCAATTATGTTTATGTCGTTAAAAATGTATGAAAATGAAATTCATCAGAAAATGATCGTTTTCTTCCAAATTGCTTCACGAAATATAACCAATATCACCCACGAAGATAAACGACGATTCACGAATCGACAATGTTTGGTCCATATAATTCTTTCTGGGTTTGGTTCTTTGCAAAAGATCACTTGCAATATGAAGTAAAAACGAAAATTAACTTTTCAAGTTCTCAAAGGGTCCAAATTGACCACTCAGGTCTCATGCATCATATCATTCAGAAAAGTTTTCCTATCATTCATCATCATATTTCTTCATACTTTTCTCACCATAAGCAAATTAACGACGTAGAGATGAGAAGTTGTGAAATGAACAATTAAAAAGATGCAAACCTCATCCCCAGGACATTACAGTAGAACGGCAATGATTTGCGTGGATCCTTGATGCGTAACATTGTTTGTTGCAAATAAAAATNAAAAAAAACATTAAGAACAATTCGATTTAAACGTGAATAGAATAGTTGATCTGAAGAAAACGTCTTCTGAACACAGCTTCCTTGTGCGAAATTACGCGTAATTCGCTTAAATTTATCATCTACCATAAATTAGAAAGGAATCCTGCTGCCGACAATCGAAAATTATCAGACCGTCTGAAAGCCGAACCAAGATTCTTAATTCTAATTAATCGTCTGGTCCTCATTTCAAAAGAAATTCTAATGAATAATGCAACCTAATAGTGAAAAACAATTGACGACAGCGAATATTTTATGATGAATTGACGGTACACTGTTAGCCCCACAGTTTGTATTGTAAAACCACTTGGCAAATACTTCAATATCGTTCATGATGCCTCTTGAAAAAATGGTTAGTAAAACTGTACTAAATAGTCTTTAAAATGAACTAGTGTTCATCGGGGAGCAGTAATTCGGAATGGGGGTGGGGGTTTCCGTGGAGAAAAAACTGGAGGGGAATCCCCGCAAAAAATCGGAGAGCAAACAGCGCGATGGGATCCCCACAGAGATGAAACTGGACGGGGAGGGTCCCAAGAAAAGTCGGGGAGCGGATCGCCCGGAGGGAGTCCTTGGACAGTGGGGTCCCGCAAAAAAGTGGGGAAGCAAACTGCGTGGGGGATGAGCGCCCCTCGAGTTCCCCGCCGGGGTCCCCGACGGAAACCCTATCCCCCGACGAACACTGAAAGGAACCAAAAAATTACTTCTTCATCGCTGACGGGCCCAAGTTCGGCATCACCTTGGTTTTTTGAATCACAATGATCGTCTTTATTCGCCGCACTCATTCCGTTCACCTCAAAAATATGACAATCTGTAAAAGTGGGTCATGCATCAAGGCGCATTAAAGTGAAGGGATTCGGACCCACTTTCAGAAAGTGGTACGTTCATCTTAAGGTGTGCATTTATTATCTGTCTTTATATGAAGACAACCGACGATAATAAGCTTGAACATATAGGTAGTAGTTCTCTAAAACGAAAGCATGAATAATCAGTCGGTCCGAAATGAACCAACATCTAATTCTGATCAACTATCTTACTGAACTGTCATTCTGAATCCTGAATCTTCTTACAGAAATGATGAGGCCAACTTCCGTACTGAATACTAGGTATTTTATATCAATGGAAAGCAAAGTGGAACACGCAGCAAAAATGAAAGTGAAGAGTTAAGCAAGGAACAATGAACAAAGCAAAGGAATAAGATTGTCGAACTTAACATCATCGAACTAATCTAATGGAAACTTCTTACGCTCTATTCATAACGATTTACGTATGTAGTTACCAAACACTCAACACTTAGAATCATTGACACATTCGTTCACCATTCTCGCCATCATAAGAACAGATGGTTTTCTATCGTCTAAACTATACGTTGTACTATCGAGCCAAGTGACAGAGCTTCGACTGGTATTTGCCTAACACTGTCATCGATCGCCGGTAGTGAAAATTAATGTAGCGCAAGTAACATGTAAGTAAAATTTAAAAAAGTGCACCTATCAAATAAAAATATGAGTTCAATCGCTTGGCGAACTGTCACTCTATTCGTA